GTGATGACTGGTAGTTGAATGTTCCCCCAATAATATGAGTAGATATGACGTTTTTATGGAATTTACAAAAAGTTAATTATACCCAAGCTGGAGTAGACTGCCGCTTCTGCCTAGCCTTGAACTTTTTAACTACCAGGTTTTAATCTCCTTAAACGAAATAGGATAAATATATCTCATATATATGATCTACTATTAATCTCTAAAACCTACTCGAAACGAAACATAAGTAATATCATCGATTGCTATAGCAAATATAAGTGTGTTTCGTCGACAATTCCACCACAGAATGTGATGGAATGTTACCCAAGGGCAATAGTGGCATTGTAGCGTGTTGGTTACTGTATCGAGAGTATACACCACATCGTCATGGTTCGAGTCCCTCTAGGGGTTCTGAGGAGGCCAGTTAAGCCAAGATCAAAACTGCAGTCTTTTTCTGACTGGGAATACTTTTGCTAAGACATAAAAGCGCTAATTTACTCATATCATTGTGGGAAAATTGAACAACCGATAATTTAGTCGGACACAATTTCAATTTGATTAAAATAACCCAAAATAAAATAATTCTATCATCAATCATTGAGTCTTTGCGGATGCGCAAAATAGGCTTCCATATCTTTAGGGTTGGTTTGACCTTACTGTCCTAGAGTCGCTAAGGGTGCGTCAGCGAGACCTTGCGGAACATGTCTAGTCCTATTTCCACCATCGGACAATTGACTTGGTACACTTCCAAGCGTTCGCAGGCATTTTAGTCGGCAGCATCGTCAGCACAAAATTAAAATCTATCAAAGTGACAAGTAAAGACAATCGCTTGACAAATTTTCTGCCTTACCATTGTGGCATCACTCCTCGCCTCCATTTTTTGTTCTACCTTCCAGTGTTGAATCGTGTTCTCTCATTGCCTATTCACACAATTCTGTACTCTCGTTCACTCTATTTCGTTTAGGTTGACGTTTCCATTCATCTCACATAGCTTTGATTTCACAAAAGCTATTTCAATCCTGGCTGGAGTGGACGGCAGTTACCACCTCGCATAGGTCTTTTCAACACCCCAACGGGACTCGAACCATGACGGTGCATGACACTTTAACATTTTCCAATCGACAGCATTACTTTTTTCCTTTTTTGATTAGGCTTTTGAGACTGCCAGTAAATCGGATATATGAGTTTTGCTCACGCTGTGGTTACCGTGTCGAGATTACACGTTGCACTTTCATGGTTCGAGTCCCGCTGGTGTGTATTTATGAGGACTATGCAAAAGCGAGACTACACTCCACTCCAGCCGGGATGAGAACACCTTTTTGGAAGGTAAGGATGTGTGAAATTCAATGGAAACGTCAGCTCTACTCATATGCTTGTGGGAAAATTCAACTGCCCGAACTTCATTCCCTTAAACAAATAAACGGAAACACAACTCATGCTTATGTTAAGGATATGTTTTGAAAAGATTCTTCCAAAAATGTGGAGTTAATATGAGTGCAGTCCTATTATTATTTTTACATGCTTGCATTTTTATTCTATTACAGCTAATATTTAGAAAGTTGGCTGATGTAAACCGTGAACGGGAACTGGCTGAACAGCGCAAAAATGACAATCTTCTTTCGGAGTTAACCTCGGATCATCCTGTACGGCGTATGATTCATCGGTTCCGGCGAATTGGAGCCCAGTCTGGCAATAAGAGTTCTATTGTCTCCATTAGGACAAGGATGAGTGATGAGACCATCCCAGGGGATGGCGTTAATGTTTCAGGCGGAGAAAGCGATCCGGTTGCGGAAAAGGAGTCTAAGAGAAAAGTTGAGCAGAAAAGAAAAGAATCCACCGAAAAGTCAGATGGTAAAGCTGGCTTGTCTCAAGTTAAAAGTGTAGATGCGGTCAAAATGGATGCTGACCACAAGTCTAAGCAGCTAGTTTGCACTAAACCAGCATCATCGGGATGCATTTCGGAACAATATGATGATCTGACAGCCAGATGGGGCCGCTTGCTGGGAGTTGATAAAAAATCGGCAAACGCTACTGAAAATGAGCTCAAAAATCCCAAGAAATTGGTTACTTCAAAACCTGTTCAGGATAAACAGAGAGATGGTCTTCTAAATGTCGACATTGACGCAGAAAATGGTGCCACCTTGACGGTGAAAAAATTGAATGAATCCGAAAAAAATGACATCACCACAGGAGTAGAGAGAGCAAGCATAGAATATCCCGAGTCAAGCGAATTGAAACTTCGAGTGAATCGGCTACTGCATTGCCGGTTTGTCGATTCCAAAATGGAAGATGAAATTGACGCACAAAAGTCGCCCAATCTACACGATGAAACGGCCAAGATATTGCTGGACTCGCTTGAAAATATGAAGCGAGAAATGTGGGAGGAGAGCAATCTACTACTGAATAGGATGGATGAAATAAACAATAAACTCAGTCAAATTATCACACTAAATGTTGAACGCCGAAGCCATACATCCTCATTGTGCACGCAAGCTAGCGCCCTAACCCCATCCTATGAAAGCACTCCGATAAAAGAGGTCAAAGCTACCGGAACCACTTCACCTCGCGATGTATTTAGGTGTTTGCACTATATCGGTGGGCGTGGTAATTCCGATAGAAAGCCGTTGGCTGTCACCAAAAGCCAAGTTCAACGAAACCTTGACCACCCGAAGCAAGCATCACGAGGTCATCTGCAAAATATCCCGGTTCCCAACAAACCGTTGGTCAGTACCGCTTTTGACCTTGTCCGCCAGCAACGCATCTCGCAGTACTACAGCCAGGACTCCATGGACGACGGTAGTTATGCAGAGTCAAGTTCACCCTCGTACACCTGCAGTAAACCGTCATTGATTAGCGCCAATGACATCAACTGTGAAAGCAACGCGAAAGTTTTGCTGGGTCTAGAACCGTTGAGGGAAAAAAGTGGTGGTACCGGTTTGGATAGGCGAGAGAAGGAATCGCTCCAAATGAAAAAGTTCTCTGCAAATCACCTCACAGATTGCTCCAACCAAACAGCACCCTTTACAGGCCCGTCTCCGATGCAGTGGGATGTGGGCAAATGTGAAAATCTCATAATCCCACTCGTCAGTGTGCCCGGCAGCAACGGGAAAATAGACACTCGAGTTCACTCTTCTCGGCGTAAAATCGTGCAGGCCAAATGTCGTTTGGATGGCGGAGAATACAAGGCAAAAGGGGGCAAAATGTCTCTTATCCACGAATTGGGCAAAGATCAGACCGGCAATCTGGACACTGATCTTCCGGAAGCGGACATAGAACCGGAAAGTTTGGGTCATCATCTCAATTCTCTGTCCATCCCTCCGCCCATCAGCTCGTTCAGCTCTCTCGCTTCACAGCTGCCTCCGCCGCCAGCTGGGCGCAAAATGACCTCTTTCCCGCCCAATTCCGTCTCTTCCAACTTGACGCCAAGTGAAGATTTGTGCTCCTCCTCGGCTGCCGGTTTCATTAGAATCACTTCACATGAAAAAGTGCCTTCTCACCTGCGAGCCGTTGGACCGATTGTCTTCAGTCCCTTCCTCAATCCGATACCGAATGACGAGGCGCAGAAATACCTTTACAACACAAACACCGCCTTCGCGACCAAAGGATGCCAGGAAAAAGAGGTTTCTGACGCACTCGAAGGATATCAGCACATTCAGAGGATTCCGGCTCAACCGCCTGGCTCTTCGTTTTCGCCACCAACTCAGGTCTCAGGGATGGGTAAATCTCGTATGCAACAACGACTGTTCAATGCCGTTGCCTCAACTGAGGCTAGAATGGTCA